CAATTAGAGTCTTAAAGGCTGTTCTATATGCCCATAGACAGCCATCTAGCTTTTTGGACCAGTCCTTTCTTAATTGATTCACCACCTTCTCTAAGATTTGTTTAATTTCTTGATTTGAAACTTCCACTTGTCCACTTGTTTGTGGATGATAGGGTGTAGCAATCTTGTGTCTCACTCCATATTTTGCTAAGACTGAGTCAAGATATTTGTTACAAAAATGAGTACATCCATCACTTAGTAAGAATCTAGGTACTTCAAACCTAGTGAATATATTTCTTTTGATGAAAGATATCACCACTTTAGCATCATTGGACCTTGTTGGGATGGCTTCCACCCATTTAGACACATAGTCTACTGCCACAAGTATATATTCATGAGAAAAGGACGTGGGAAATGGTCCCATGAAATCAATTCCCCAAACATCAAACATCTCCATTTCTAAAATATTGTTCAAGGGCAGTTCATGCTTTCTAGAGATATTGCCTGTCCTTTGACACTTGTCACAGCTTTCAACATAATTCTTGGCATCTTTAAACAATGTTGGCCAGAAAAATCCTGCTTGCAAGACTTTTGCAGTAGTCCTTGAGCTACCATGGTGGTCTCCATATTCTGAGTTATGACAATGCCAAAGAATTTCAGCTTGTTCTTCTTGTGGTATACACCTTCTCAATAGACCATCTACCCTTATTTTGAACAAATAAGGGTCTTCCCATACATAAAATTTGCTGTCATGCAGAAATTTCTTTCTTTGTTGCCAAATAAACTTTGCTGGAATCAGTTGAGTGGCCTTAAAATTTGCTAAATCAGCAAATCAAGGTGATTCTTCCACCACAAATAATTTCTCATCTGGAAATTCTTCATTGATGTCCAAAGAATTAGAGTTCAAACTGTCCAATGGCAGTCTAGACAGATGATCAGCTACTCCATTTTCCTTGCCCTTTTTATCTCTAATTTCCAGCTCAAATTCTTGTAGCAGCAGAATCCATCTCAGCAATTGATATAGCTTTATCGAACACTTATCAAATGCACAAGGTTTTCGCAATTATTTGTAGAATAATGTCAACCAAGGTCAAATTCTCAAGGACACGTTTGTATCTAATTCTTCTTTGCCGAATTGTTAAAATGAAACAAAAGATTAGGGAATTTTGAGAGTTTAAGAATAATCTGATCAAATGCATAAAATTCTGGAATAAAAGAGAAATCTAATGAGAATTAATTGATCCACAAGTCATAGGTTCATGTAAACAACATCCTTCATTGTTTCCCTAATTTGAACATCTAATCCATTAACTAATTCAATCGAATTTGGTAACAAACTAGATTATGAATTTGACTAATAGATCTATCAATCTAATTCAATTTCATGAATCAAACTACAATCGCAATTCAATTCAATTCCTATCTCTAAACGTTATCAATATCTTGAAAAACGAAAGAGAAAAGGAGAAAAGAGAATTCAAACTTGGAGCCACTCTGAATCTTCCTTGCAATTCCCTATTCCTTGTGTATCAATCCGAGAAGCCTAGCCTTCCATTGAATCCAATGTTCAGCCAAGTCAAGAAGAGAGAAGAAGAAAGAAGAAAACGAAAAGTCACACCAAGAGAAGAGAGAGAATTCGAGAGAGAATTTTAGGAGCCAAAACCGAATTTTTAAAAGTGTGTTAAAACAAAAACCTAAAAAAACAAAAACAACCTTCAAAGTGGAGCCTCTAACATATTAATAGGCACCACTTATGATCAGATCCAACACTAAAAGGAAGGGCCCACAAGTGTGATTAAACAGCCCAAATTACAAGCTAATGAAATGTTAATACAAATGAAATGAAATTACAAGAACAAAATTCGAATACAAAATTTCCTGCACAATTTTCCTAACTTCAAAAATTCATAGAAAATAGAAAACAGCTTCCATTTGGACGATCTGCACATGAATTTTATAGCCCAGAAAATGAGGAATCCAATGAAACTGGAATCAGACCGAACGGACATCTGTGGAAAAAGTTACGATCAAAACAGTGAGTGCAGGTCTGAAAACAGAATTTAGACATTAATTGAAATTTAGTTCCTATCATCCAATTAACTAGGAAATGCCATAATTTGTGAAATAAGGGAACATGAAAGGTAATTTACACACTCTAAAGGATTGAAAATGTGCACAAATAATGCATGCTATCAGCAATCTTGGCTTGGCATCTTGCTTTGACAACAAATATTTAAGTGCAGAATGGTTAGTATATACTATTACTTTTGATCCTATCAAGTATGATCTGAATTTATCAAAGGCAAACACAATGGCAAGGAGTTCCTTTTCAGTAGTTGTATAATTCACTTGTACAGATTGGAATAATAGATCACATGCAATTTCTTGTCTTTTCTCTGCCCTAGAACAGCTCCTACTGCACTATCACTAGCATCATACATTAATTCAAATGGTAAATTCCAATCAGGTTTGGCTAGAATAGGTGCAGAAATGAGTTTCTCTTTTAAAACAGAAAATGCATACAGACATGATTCATCAAACATAAATTCAGTTTCCTTGACAAGTAAATCACTAAGAGGTTTTGCTATTTTTGAAAAGTCTTTTATAAACCTCCTATAAAAACCTAAATGGCCTAAGAAACTCCTAATTCCTTTAATATTAATTGGTGGAGGTAGTTTACTAATGACTTCAATTTTTGCTTGGTCCACCTCAATTCCTTTTTCAGAAATTCTATAGCCAATGACTATTCCCTCTTGGACCATAAAATAACACTTTTCCCAATTCAGCACTAAGTTTGTATCTTGACATCTCTGTAAAACAATGGACAAATTAGATAGACAATCATCAAAAGAATTGCCAAATATAGAAAAATCATCCATGAAGACCTCAATGGTCTTTTCTACTAAATCTGAAAAAATGGACAACATGCACCTTTGGAATGTGGCTGGAGCATTGCATAATCCAAATGGCATCCTTCTATATGCAAATACTCAAAATGGACATGTGAAGGCAGTCTTTTCTTGATCTATAGGGTCCACCGCTATTTGATTATAGCCTGAATATCCATCAAGGAAACAATAAAATGCATGTCCAGCCAATCTTTCTAACATTTGATCCGCAAATAGTAATGGAAAATGATCCTTCCTTCTTGCATCATTAAGCTTTTTATAATCAATGCACATGTGCCAACCCGTGACAGTTTTAGTGGGTATTAATTCATTCTTTTCATTTGCCATTACAGTTATTCCTCCTTTCTTAGGAACAACTTGAACTGGGCTAACCCATTGACTATCCGAAATTGGGTAGATTATCCCTGCATCCAATAGCTTCATTACCTCTTTTCTAACCACTTCCTTCATGGCTGGATTTAACCTTTTTTGTGACTGCACTACTGGCTTGTAGTTGTCCTCAAACATAATTCTATGTCTACAAAAGGATGAGTTAATACCTTTCAAATCTGAGATGTGCCATCCAATTGCAGATTTGTGATTCCTTAAAATTCTCAGCAACTTTTCTTCTTCTTCTCCCTTGAGATTATTGCTTATAATCACTGGATATTGATGTCTTTGATCTAGAAAAGAGTACCTCAAGTGAGACAGTAATTGCTTCAGCTCAAGTTTCTCCACTTTCTCTTCTTTCTCTTCTTTTTTAAGCTCCCCTCTTGCTGAATTTTTGGATAAAGGGATAATAGGCAGTGTTTCAAGTTGCTGCACATATTCCATGAATTTTTCTTCTCTTTTTACAGCAGCTTGTGCATTCCCTGCAACTATAATTTCCCTTAACATAGAAAATTCATCAACATTATCAATTAATTGAGGAAATGACATAGATACTAAAATATCAACTCTCATACAAGTACTATCATCACTAGGATGTTTGAGTGCTTCAAAAATATTAAATGTAACCTTTTCATGCTGCACTCTAAGCATTAATTTCCCTTTTTGCACGTCAATCAAAGCTCTCCCTGTAGCTAAGAAAGGTCTGCCCAATATTAAATGAATATCGGCATCCACCTCCATATCTAAAATGACAAAATCTGCAGGGAAAATAAACTTGTCAATTTTTATCAATAAATCCTCTACAATACCATATGGATAAGTAAATGATCTGTCCGCAAGTTGTAGAGTGATGCTTGTTGGCTTGACTTCCTCTATTCCAAGCCTTTTCATTATGGCAAGAGGCATAAGGTTGATGCTTGCCCCAAGATCACACAAAGCTTTTCCTATTGTGCAACTTCCAATACAGCATGGAATGCTGAATGAGCCTAGATCTTTTAATTTTTGAGGCAGCTTTCTCTGCAAAATAGCACTACATTCTTCAGACAAAGGGACTGTCTTGTCATTTTCTAACTTTCTCTTCTTGGACAGCAACTCCTTCATGAATTTTGCATATGAAGACATTTGTTCTAATGCTTCAGCAAATGGTATATTAATTTGGAGCTTTTTGAAGACGTCTAGAAATCTCTCATATTGCCTTTCTTGCTTAGGATTAGTGACTCTTTGTGGATAAGTTAGTTGCTTGTATTTCTCTTCATCTAGAGGCTTGTTTGAATCTTCTAAAATTTGCCTCTTTGTTCTTCTCACAGTTTTAGGGAAGGTATCCATTTCTGAATTTTCTCTTTTTAATAGAGTGAAGTTCCCTTCTTCTAGTTCAAATTTAATCTTCTCCTCTTCCTTGGTTTTCTCTCTCTTCTCGGCTAGTTTTGGACTACCCACAACAGCTCCACTCCTAGTCATCACAGCTTGGCATTGTTCTTTTGGATTTATAACTGTGTTGCTAGGAAATCTCCTATCTTCTCTGTTGGACAGTTGCTCAGCTAACTGTCCAATCTGTGTTTCCAACTTCTTCATGGAAGATTCTTGATTCTTGAAGCTTGTTTGTGTTACTTTCATGAATTGCAGCATGATTTCTTCCATTTTGTTCAGTCTTTCATTCAGTGGTTTAGAAAACCTCTGATTTTTTTGAAGTTGGTTGGCTAGATACCCTTGGAAAAAAGGTTGTTGAGTTGCTGGTCCTGCATTTTAAAATGGAACAGCAGAGTTAGAATTTTTCCAATTAGAATTTTGGTTATTCCAGCTATGTTGCTGCTGGTTTCTATTGTTAGAGAATTGAAAACCAGGAGAAAATGAATATTGTTGTCTCTGAAAATTCCCCATATAATTGACTTGTTCTTGAGATTCAGAATTATTTCCATCACAAGCTCCGTTTACATGATTCCCTCCACAAAAATCACACACAAGTGGAGTATTCTGGGTTGATGCAGCTTGTAAGTTGCTGATTTGTTGGGTGAGTGCAGCTATTTGCTCAGAAAACAATTGATTTTGCAGCTGATTTTGAGTCAAAAAAGTCTCAAGAAGTTTTGCCTCATAGCCATTACTACTTGTTGATTGTCTCAAGCTACAGCTTTGATGCATGGAGGTGGCCATCATATCTATAATTCCTTGAGCTTCTAGTGATTTGGTGTTCAAAGAACCTCCTGCAGCTGCATCAATCATGGTTGCAGTTGCTGGATTCATCCCATTATAGAAAGTTTCAAGTTGCATCCATTCCAGTATGCAATGATGTGGACATCTTCTCAAGAGTTCCTTGTATCGCTCCCATGCCTCATATAAGGTTTCTCCCTCTTGTTGCATGAAGGATGTGATCTCTCCTCTTAACTTTGCAGCCTTAGAAGGTGGAAAATATTTAGAGAAAAATTTATTGACTAGATCTGTCCAAGTAGTTATGCTTCCTTGTGGTTGGGCTTGGAGCCAACATTTTGCCTTGTCCCTCAAGGAAAATGGAAACAATCTTAATCTGATTGCATCTTCGCTAACTCCATTGATCCTTATAGTATCACATAACTACAGAAAATTAGAAACATGCAAGTTAGGATGATCTAAAATTAAACCAGAAAATTGATCTTGTTGAACTAAGTGAAGTAAGGCAGGCTTAATTTCAAAATGGTTGGCTTGAATGGTTGGTCTGACAATAGAAGAACTGTATCCATGCATATTAGGTACTCCATAGTCTCCTAAAGTCCTTTGTCTATGTGGTTCAGCCATCTTTGCTTCTGAATTTACAGATGAAGTTGGAGAATTGATGGATCGATTTTTCACTACTCGTTATGCACAAAGATTGTCGTTAATCCTCATCAAATATGCAAGATATAAATGCAATATTAGGGTGTTGTCCTAGGTTATCTCCAAGGAACTTTTGGTTGGGAACATACATTGAACAAGTGTAAACATATATTTTAAAGCAAGTAAATTGGGGGGAGGTTTGTCAATTTCTAGATTTTAATAAAGAACAGAATGTAAACTAATGAAATTCAATCAATTAAAAAGAGTAATCCCTAGTCAATGAATGAGTTCTATCCCTATTCTTTCAAATGATTCAATAATCCTCTATTTTTTCCTTGAATTAAGTTAATTTAACAAGCGAAAATTAACTTTAGTATCCCAATTAAAATTAAGCATCTTAATGGGCTCCAATTCTCTATCCCTAAGATTAAGCAATCTCAAAGATTAATCAAAATTAAGCAATTTTAGATTAGAATTTCGTTGGGTAATTTAGGGTTCATTAAGCAATGTTCCCCTCATGCAAATTTCATTTCATTCAGAGATTGGGGTTAATAAATCCAAGAAAAGAAAGAGTGATATTGCCATTAAACTCAAGAATTCAAGAACCATATGAGTTGACTAGGAATTACAAGAGAATTTAGCCCTCCATATGGATGGGCTTCACAAATGAAAGAAGGGAATGTAGAAACGTAAGCAACATTAATGTAAAATCAAGGAGAATCAAAGGGAAATTGGAAATTAAAACCTATAATGGATCCCTGGCTGTCACCCAAGAATCCTAAGCTCTGCAAAATGCTCCAAAAGTGGTAAAAGAATCTAAGGAAAAAATGAATCTCAGTACCCTAATTTCTAAAAGTCTATATATACTAAGTCTGACATGGCCCCATAGTGATCACTCTGTAAAACAAGAGAGTAAACACGCACAACAACTTTAGCTTTTTCCCTTTCTGGAGTGATTACTCTCATTTCTGAGAGTAAACACGCGCATGGCACTTCCTTTTGGGCGTCTCTAGAGTGATTACTCCCATTTCTGAGAGTGTTTACGCGCAGGACACTTGGGGTCTGGGGCTTCTAGAGTGATCACTCTGATATCTGAAAGTGGTTACTCTGGCCTATCCCTTGAAACCAGCTCCCTGGAGTGATTACTCTGGTATCTGATAGTAGTTACTCTGAGTTCATATTTTTTTCAAAGAGCCAAAAATTCATGAAATTTGTCTAGAATTTCCTGCACAATTATTCAAATGATCAAAATTGCAAAATATATTCACAAAAATTAATGGAAATAAGACAAAAATTAAGCTATTGTTTTCTACCTAAATAAGATTTTAATGTTATTTACAGCCTCTAAATCTATTTTTTTCTATTAAAACTTTATAAAAACCAAACAAAATATCTATAAAGTGTGGATTCATCACAACCCCAAACTTAGACTTTTGCTTGTCCTCAAGCAAACTAAAACTTAAGAAAATTGAAGGTAAAGGGTTGGATTTATCCAAAAATTTTCTCAAAGATTTCCATTCCAATCTTAGACTCCAATTAGCACTTCCAATATTTTCAAAATTATGGATTCATTCAACAAAACAATCACACTCATATCATCTATTTTCATGCAAAATCCCACTAAACCAAAACAAAAGTCCAGCAAGGTTTCATGCAGTCCACACAATGCAAAGAAATCATCCAGCTCACAGTATAGTATTTCACTCTCACTCATTAATATTGTAGGCTCAGTGTTTCTCTCAATTCATGCATTTTGCCTCACCCTACCATATGCTTGCCCATATTCTCAATTTCTTTTGCCTAGATACAATGAACCACCTATCATAAGGGCTTTGTTGGTCACAAATGTGGTTAGGTTAGGTTCAATTTTTTATCAAGGAATGGCAAAAGCTCAAGTGGGTTTTTAAGAAAGGAAAATTCTTTTGAGTGAATGAGCACAATAACTAGAATGGAATGCACTAAAGGATGCAATTTATGAGGTTTAGGCATTCTTTCATCATTTTTTTTATTTTGCCTTATGTGGAACTTCTTTTTCTATCAAAAAGACTTGCTGTATTTTTCTTTTTCTTTTCCTTTTTCCTCCATTCCTTCATTTTATTATTATTATTTTTTTTGATTCGTTGGACTTTGGCAATCATTCTTTTCTTCAAATTCAAGCATTTTTTTTTGACATGTAATATGGACATGTATAATGCTCACCACCCCAAACTTAAGATCTTGCTTGTCCTCAAGCAACTATAGTCAAAATTAGCACCCCAAACTTAGTTTCTTGCAATCATTCTTGACGCAACTCAAAAGAAATATCTCTCTTAAGGGAAGGAAAATATGTTGGCAGGCTAAGTTTAGCAAAAGAAGGGAGTGTAGAACAAAGGAAATTTGGTGGGGGGTGTTCTGGGGTGGATATGTGCAAAGAAGGCCTCAATCATCCAGATGAAAAATTGTACAATGCATATTCAACTAAGAAACAGGGCAAGTTCTAGAAGATGAATGCAAAAGTACATGTAATGTGCACACAAAAAAGAATTTTAAGGCCCAATTCTCTACCATGGTAAAAGATGATAATTTCTTAGCAACATGTGAATACAGTTCACCTTACAGGAAACTACGTTCAGTGTGGTAAGAACGATAATTGTTGACAAAACAGAGAATGATTGAGTTGAATAGGAAGTGTGATCAAAATATAAAATCAGAATTAGAAAACTAAATTTCATCAAAAATAAAAAGTAAAGAAACAAAGAGGTTGTTTTGGTATTTTATCTATGAACTATACAGGAAAAACAGACTAAACAATGCGAAACAGAGGCAAAGAGATCACCCCCCTTTCAGAGTCACACTCAGAGATCAATTTCATGCTCCTCTTGATGTTACTGAGGGCATTCTCTCCACAAAGACGCACAAAGGATTCAGCACAGAGTATAAGGATAGAATTTAAACTACAAATAGTATATATATGAAAGCGTCAAAGAGTGTTCAAGGGGTGATGCATGAAAATAAAGGGGAAAATAGTACTAAAGATGATAATTACAATGAAAGTAGTATTTACTAAATACAGGGAAATGAACTAGAAATTGTAGAAATATAAATGACAGAAAGAAAAGCAAAGCTATATAAGATCTTCATTTGAGCTGGAGGATGAAAGATTGTCATCATTCTTATCATCATCCTCTTCCTCCTCTGAAGAACTGGAGCTGTTATCCTTCTCAGTTACAGGTGCATGGGTGGTGGTGAATGGAGGTAAATCCTGGTTAACTACTGCTCTAAGGAAAGGGGCAGTGAAGGTAGGGGCGTCATAAATTTGTTCTGATGTCATGCCCAGCTTCTTTCCTATATTGAGGGACATAGTTTCCAGGAGGGTCAGCATGGATTTTTGGCCAGCATGGATTGCATCCTGCCTCAGTGCTATTTGCTTGACCTGTTCTCTAAGATTCAACTGGCTTCTCTTCCTATATTCAGCAGGGAGGGAGAGACCTGGGTCAGTAGACTTCTTCTTAGCATTAAAAAGATCTTTCACCATGGCAGTAGTGATGGGAGGGGCAGCTTTGACTCTCTGCTGATATTCACCCATGTCTACTCCAGCATCCTGGCAGAGCATGGTGATGATGGAAGGAAAAGCAAGGGAGTCCCTCTTGGTGCTTAAGATGCTCATGATGAAGTTGCTTATAATGTCTCCCACATGGATTGGCATACCAGTGAGGATGGCATATAGAAGCTCAGCTCTTTTGATAGCCAATGTGGAGGAATGGCGTACTGGCATGAAGGAGCTTAGCAGGAAAATGCTCCACACCTTGGCTAGTGGGAGGAGGTGTTTGGTGGTCAGATTCTTTGGCATGAGCTGCATGTCAAACTTCCAATTTTCTCCTGGTTTACAAATGGCCTGGAGTATGGGCTTGTAGTCCTTCTCTTCTAGATAGCTGAATGTAGTGAAATCAAGCTGTCCAGCTCTCCTCTCCACTGGAGGTATGTTCAGACCCCTCTGAATGTTAGATGGAGAAAAATGAATTTCTACACCTCTTACCATAGTGTGCCGAAGGGCCAGCTGGTCTCCTTTTACCCTCATTGCATTAGCATAAAATTCTTGGGTGATCTCCTTCCACCCATTTCTAGCACAAGAGGTAAACAGATCCCAGCCCCTCCTCTGAATTTCCTCCCGAAATTGAGTATAGGTGCCCTCCTGGATCTCAAAGTTACGATCTTGCACTATTTGCCTTCGCAGGATGTTGGTTCTGAAATATTCTTCATGAGCTAATGAGCGAAACCTCGGGTCATGTGCAGGAGGGGGTCTGGATGATGAAGCTCCAGCAGCTCTGGCTCTCTTGGCTCTAGGGGTGGTCTTCCTGGGTGTATTAGCCATGTTGCTGCAGATTCACAGTTTAAGTGATGTCAGAGTATGCACTGTGAGGTGTTGTGCTGCCAAAGTGTTCACTATGCAGAATGACAGTAACTACTTTGGACACAGGGCAGCAACAATTTATGCAGAAAGGTTAAAACATATCAGTTCAAAAGGGCAAACTTAACAAGAAATAGTGTGTAGAACTGCTGCTGCATGTGTGGTGGCAGATATACTATACATATGCAGTAAAGAACATAGCAAAATGATGATCATGGCACACTGTAATCACTCTAGAATCTAGTCCTGACAGGTATGATGCAGCAGATTGCAAAAATAACTAGGCTAAGCATGTGGATGAAGGTTCAGAGTGAGTATACATGCTTCAGAAATTGTACACACAGTGAGTGAATGAATTTGAGCATGAGAGTGAACAGATAGTGTTATGCAGTGTATGATTATGCAGATTTTCAGTAACATGAAAGAGGTGCTTAAGGGTGATTGAATGTGTATCATAAAAGTGCAACAATGATAACAATCTATCACATTCAAGACAGCAAAGAATCCCAAAATATCACATTGTGGTGAGGGAGGTGCAGACAAAATGGTTACTTATGTTCATGGCAATGATCACTACAAGGCTTAATTGCTGTCA